ATTGTGTAGCTTTGTACTTAATTACAAAACAAACAAACAATCCCTAGTGGAACAGCGGTATGTCTGCGGACTTACAAAGCTAGAAACCCGGTTTCGATATCCACGGTGAGCAGAGCACAGATAGCCTATTGTGTAGTTTTTCAACAATATGTGTGTGTGTATGTATATATCAGGTTTATAAATGTATTTTCAGCTTATCTTTCATTTTTGATAATAGAAAAGTAAAGAGTAACTAATTAGTTAGAAAACTTTTAATGTGTAATATGAAAAAAAGTTGAATTATAATTCCTTATATATTTTCATTCATGCATAAATATAAAAGTACATTAAATGTACTTCCGCAGGGTCCCCGAAAGTGTTCCGTTTCTGGAGTAAACAAAACTAAATTAAGAGTACCAAATATTTTATTTTGAAGTTCATATGTCATGCTGTGTTGTAGCTTACAGAGTGCATAATTCTTCTCGTGATTCATGGCATGCGCACCTTTTACTCACAGTACAAATTGCAACGTTAAGCGTCCCTTATCTGATGCCATTTTAGTGTCTACTGATTGATTGACAGACAGCATACTACTGTATTGTGGTGCGAGTAATTAAAACAGGTGACCCCTCCAGGCGGCCTTTGGCCCCCTTTCGGGGAAACCAGTATGTACACATAATTTTCTTAAACTAGACGTGGTTTTACAGACCCTATACTCACAAAATCGCACTTTGGATCATTTTTACTGGGTCAGATTGAAGAGTGGGATGGGGATATGCACACCCGCTCCCTACGCCACTGATTTATATTTTTAAAGTATTCAATAGTAAGGTGGTTTCTCTGGAATTATTAGCTGAAAATAATAAGAAATCGAGTTCATTTATCAATAACTAATCAATATATTTTTTCAATAACATTTTATGCAGAATAAATTTATCTAACTTCTCAAACAATATTTCACCGGAAATTCCGAAACTAGTGTACGCCAAACTCACAAATAAACTTAATCAGTTATTTGCAGAAATTACTAACTAATCGATCAATGACAAACACGCTGACTAACTTATTAATTCGACCACCAAATAACAAACTCACTATGTAATTCACTAAAACTCTAACTGACAGAAAGTTTCACAGAGGCCTAAACTTTCATAAAATAAAACATTAAAATAATAAAAACATAGCCCACAAAAGTATCATATAAATATATATCTTTGATTTTCAAATTAAAAACCAACTAGTATTGGGTTTAGTAGTTTTTGTCTGTTTGTTCTAAAGGATTGACTTCTTAATAAAAATATGTAGTTAATTGTACAATTAGCTTACTTTTGATCAAGAAACCAGTCACTGAACATTCTTACCGTAGGGGCATTATTATGTGACGGCCAATCGCACTATTCGTTGTTAAAGAGTAGCCCAAGGGTTGGCGGTGGGTGGTGTTGACTAGTTGCCTTCCCTCTAGTCTATCACTTCGAAACTAGGGACGGTTGGTGAAGATAGCCTTCGAGTAGCTTTGCGCGAAATTAAACAAAACACTCAAACTTTTGAACAGATTACCGGTATTAATCATAAATCACAACCAATCCTGTAAATATCTTATCGTCAGACAACCAATCCTGTAAATATCTTATCGTCAGAGGGTTTACGTTTTCTTCCAGCTCACTCTATTAAACGGTTTCCCTTCAGGAACTCATTGGTTTAAAAAAATTGTCATCTCCGGATTTTATTGTCTGGCCATATTGTCATGTCCGGATTTTATTGTCTGGCCATATTGTCATCTCAGGATTTTATTGTCTGGCCATATTGTCATCTCGGGATTTTATTGTCATATCCAGATTTTATTGTCTGGCCATATTGTCATCTCGGGATTTTATACAAAATGGATCCGAACTATCTTCGGATAATCGATATTATATCCATATTTTGTTTTAAAATCTAATCTAACTGTTATACGAGAGTTCGGAAGAAGGGAAAAACATGAAAGACATATCCTTTATTTCTTACAGAGTAATATGACATATCCTTTATCTCTTACAGAGTAATATGACATATCCTTTATCTCTTACAGAGTAATATGACATATCCTTTATCTCTTGGATATGTCATATTACTCTGTTGTCGGAGATGAAGTATATGTCATATTACTCTGTTGGAGATAAAGGATATGTCATATTACTCTGTAAGAGATAAAGGATATGTCACATTACTCTGTCGGAGATAAAGGATATGTTATATTATTCTGTCGGAGATAAAGGATATGTCATATTACTCTGTCGGAGATAAAGTATATGTCATATTACTCTGTCGGAGATAAAATCTCCGACAGAGTAATATGACATATCCTTTGTCCACG